GATACATTCTCAGATTCTTGACATATTTATCAGATACATTCCCAGATTCTTGGCATATTTATCAGATACATGCCCAGATTCTTGGCATATTTATCAGATACATTCCCAGATTCTTGGCATTTTTATCAGATACATTCCCAGATTCTTGGCATTTTTATCAGGTACATTCCCAGATTCTTGGTATGTTTCTTTTTGGTACATTTTATGATTCAAATAATAAATAACCCAAATTTACTTTTTGTCTAAGCCAATTTATTTAATCTAAAATAAATATTAAAATGCAAAAATGCAATTATTTTTGCACCAACCTAATAAAAGATATGTAAAACGAACGATAATACTACTAGTAGGATAATTTAGGCTATCATCATCCATTGTAAAATCCTGAAATGCCACTAATGCTTCCTCAATAGTAGCAGCTTGATATCGTGAATCATAAGCGATACATTTATCTGTACCAGGCTTAATTACACATGGACACTGAAAAATGTCACATAATAATATCCTGTAGTGTTATCATATTCATAATTGCAGATAACATTGATAAATGATTAAATTAAAAATTATGACAATATTAATTAGCATTACTAATTAATGCTATCATATTGATAATTTCAGATAACATCAATAAACGATTAAATGAAAAATTTTGATAATATTAATTAAAAGTATAACACTGAAATGATTAAACTAAAAAAAAAATTTGATAATATCAATTAATGATATGACAATGAAAAAAAAAAAATACACTTATCAATCGTTTGTAGTAGTATGCTATCATAGTCATCATTACTGATAACATTAATATATATAAATAATTATGCTAAGAAAAAAAAATTTTGACAATATTAATTAATTATGTTACCTGTGGAACAACATTCCCATAAATACGTTGTTGCAATAAATTATTCACATTGGAAAATTGTTGTTGAGTATGTCGTTTTTTAAGTATTTTGATATTATGATTGGAAAATTTCGTATCAATCAATGCAATATTTGTTGTATTTAAATGTTTTACAGATAAAATATTAGCAATTTCAAATGGTTCAAATTTGATAATTGTTTGTGATAATAGTTCCAGAATTGTTAATTTTATCGTATATAAAAAGAAAATGAGGAAGCGAACATTTGTCTTCATATTTTATGAAAATATCCACGCCATATAATCCGTTCGTTTATCGTGCCTAATAATATCAACATTTGGCATCAATTTATGAAATGTTTTTTTTATTTTAATTTAATTAA